TATCCCCTCGCAAATAAGAATTCAACAAATCCTTGTAGTAGTGTCCTCTTAGCTTCGACTGATGAGTACGCATCCAGTCTAAGCGTTCAGCCTCAATTAACGCAAATGCATTCACCATATATTGTTGAAACAATTTACCAGATAATAACAGAGAATTCGACTCCTGGAGACGGGTTTGAAGACGATATGCATAGAAATCACACTGGGTTATCATTTTATCTCCAACACTGATATTAGAGCTACTGTGACTATAGCTAATGCAGGGATGCCACCCATCCTCGCCATATGGGAATAAAATTGGATATTGTAATGCCATCAGACTTGGATGGTATACGCTAATTCTTTCCATTTCTGAACCCTTCTGTTGAACAATTATATCTGGAGAAAATGATTGCTCTCCTGTTTCATCTACAATCAATGCTGCAATCTCATTCGCAGAGGGCAAATCATATTCTCTACTATTAATTTCACGCTTAGCCAATAGTTTCAGTTGAAGCTCCTGGACACCAGAGTTTTGTATTCTATCTTGCGCAGAACGAAATGTACGTACCAGGATATTATTGTCATCAAACATATGCTGGAGGCCTTCAACAATACACTGGCGCAACGGATTCTTGGCAGGATCAGTGGAGTAAAAGTACATACGATTCTGCACCTCGTTATCTGAATCGTGAATGTAAAGCTGTGCAAATTTCGGACTATCCCCATCACCAGGAACCAACATCCTATTCGATGATAAATCTGACCACCGATTGAATATACATAAACTCCACGACCATCATTAATAGAGTGATTGACTTTACCTCCGAGAGAAATAAAGCAAAAAACCCCATTATAGGCTCTGATGTTAGTACGAAAGTGACGCGCTAATGGTGTATCCCCTTCAAGCAGAGTTTTAAGAAATTCGGGCACATCTCTGCGGGGAGGCAATTTCACTTTACCATTTTTGCAACATAAAGGAAATGCAGGCAACACATCATTCCGTGTAGATAAAGTACTCTCGAACCGCCACATAACTGCTCCACAATGTTGACACGTACATGAAGGTGGACCAATATCAAAAAATTCAACCAACGGAAGACCTAGTGAAATAGATAAGTAATATTAATAAATTTTTGTCACAGTAATTCATAAATTGAATGAGATTGAGAAACTGTGAAGCCAATTTAGGCGCGCTACAGTAAACACAATTATTAAAATAAATGTTCTCAAGGCAAGATAGATTGGTATACCGCTCATTTTAAGTAAGAATAAGTCAAATTTCAGGAAACACCAAAGTTTGTTCATAACACACAAATTTGCCGTTGACACATCAACATCTAAAAACAATCCACTATTTGCATAAGGTGACATGAAGCGTACATCACTAAATTATATGCATGGCATAAATGGGTACATTATATGTTCTAAAACCAAAATAGGAAACAAAATATGTTGACCAGAACACAAAAACATATATCGAATGTACAAAAACTAAACCAAAATAGAGATGAACCATTTCATGTATAATAGTGGCCATTAGAATCCACATACTTTGATTGACTTCTGTAGGAAAGAAACTTCGGCCACGTCTCTTTCTATGCAAATGAATACGTCGAAGTAATCGACTTTGCTTTTGTAATAGAAATCTAAACTCCGGCTCCAAAACTATGAACAACACCAAAACACATACGATATTAAAGAAATAAATAAAGATTCAACAATCTAGAATAGCCTAATTTGTAAGACTTGCTACAAAATTTAGCAAACAACAACCTTGGTGTTCAAAAGGCAAGCCCCTCCTATGAACCTTCTGTTTCAAAATATGATGTCTTCTCTTACGGGCGACTTGGGATAGTATTCGCCGAAGTTGAGAGAGTTGGAATTGTAAGGCAGCTTCTTCTGAAGAATTTAAATATAAAACCATGTATTACTCATTGAATAGATGAACCAATTAGAAAAATTAAAACACAGATAACACACCTCTCTCAAATGCTTCTTCCTCTTCAGCAGATAAAACACAGCGTTGGTACTGATCTTCAGGATGAATAAGCACTGCTCGACGTGTCCCTAAACAAATGAGATTCAAGGGAAAATATTAATGTCAGTCTGCATTGAAGCAGTTGCGTGCTAAACCATGACACTCACATGGTACAGACGATCGATAAATCTGTGGTTGGGCAGATGGGATGACATTTGCACTATCCATATTAAATTCTCCAATAACCTGATGCAATCTGAAATAGAGGTCGTGGTAAATGATGCACCCGTTCCAGTAAATTTTGCAGCTGCCATTCATATAAATTAATTAATTGTTACAACAGAAGTTGAACTCCTCACCAATTATAAGTTTGTGCGAGTTAATGACACAAACAACACACCACACAAACATAACAGTCGAAGAAAAATATAACTATATAAGGCATAATTTAAATTGATGAACAAAACACATATAACAGAATGGCTTCCAAGCTTGGGGATGCAAAGGAAGAGCGAGAAGGACAACAATGTAATGGCCAACACAAATATAATTCAAAGGCATCCATAAAAACCATATCCAAAGAGAAGTTTGAAAAAGAAGCAAGCTGGCAATAAGAAAAGCACTATAAGTGCTTACCAATTCTAGTTCTTCTAACTATACCAAGCTTATCCCTTCTTTCAATTATGCAGTTTACGCTTTGTACTTTTAGCACAAATGGATTCCAACTCTAATGTCACAATACAAATACAATGCAAATGAAGTCGAAGAACAATAAAACAAACTAATGGAGTGAGATAAAACTGTCCAATGATCTTATGTAATAACGGGAAAAAAGCCTGGTAGAACCAATACACTAACCAGTGGAGCATGCTTATCAATACCGCCTACTTTATACTTCTTTAGTGATTAGAGCTGAAAGTACATTATCAGATCATAGCCAGTCCCATTAGATTAATTAACCTAGAAACATATGAGAGAAAACCTTACTGATCAAGTTGGATTTCGACATTTACCTGCAACAGAGTTAACATCATCAAGTAAATTGATTATGTCTCATACGTGGTGGCGGGTGGGGGACGGCGCGCCAAATTTCGTCGGCGATGGGCTGGTTCTGGACTCAAGTAGGCTGGGCCTCTGAAGTATGGGCTGGCGAGAGAAATGGATCCCCGAGGCCTTATGGTTTACGCTTTCCTTTTCCCCCGCCAGGCCAGCGGTAGTTTATAGTCGGCCCTTCGGTTTACTGACCCGGAAAACGACCCGGACGAAGTACCTGGCTGCCGCCGCCGAACGTCTCTTTCTTTCCTCTTCTTTCTCTGCGGCCCGAAAAAACTCAGCTCAAAATCGGCAGTCGGCTGCTCTCTGGAAGACAGTCTAAACGAAGTGGAATTTAAAGTAAGCAGCTTTGTTACTTTCAAGAGAAAGGGAAAAATAAAAAATCCCCTTTTGATCTCTAGAGAATCCAATCAACAGAATGAAGCGAGGAAGGTAAGAGAGAATAAAGAAAACGGAATGAACCAAAGGTAAGGGAGATGAATCTTTGCAACCGAATCCCTGGAAAAAAACCCCAGAACCCGAATCCCTAAAACTTAAAAGCAGCGACAACAACAAACAGAAATCTGAAAGAGGAAGAATAACTTACGGCAAAACCAATACCGATCTAACGCTTAGAGAACGGAAATCAAAGGTAGATGCAAGCACATAAAAGAACCAGATGATTGAGTCAAGGTTTGGTTTTCTGAAGGCCAAGAAACTTATTCGAATGAGGTGAAAGAGTGGAAGGAAGGGAAATCGGAAATAAAAAATATAAATTAATACAAATTAAATGAGAACGTGGGCCTGGAAGGAGAAAAAAGTGGGTAGTGGAGAGTTTTTTGGTTCTGAAATCAGGCGGGACTCTTTTTTTCCCGCTTAACACTCTGCCACATCAGCTTCCTAAAATCACTCTATGGGCAGGAAATTTTGAATGGGGGTTGCAGTATTACTTTTCAGCTATAAATTATACTGTTGATTATTATTATTATTATATTAATAATATAATATGATTTAGGTTAATTTTCCGGTGAAGTAAGTTCACGAGAAACTGGAAATAAATTCTACCAAAAATAGGGAATAAATCATTTATTGGAATTGGTAGTTTTGCAAACATAATAGGCTATTTTCTTACGTGAATATCACAAATCGTTTAAATTTGGGTAAATACAATTTAATATCCAAACCTTTCATTTTAAACAATATAATAGCCAAACCTTCTCGAAAACAATCTAATATCCAAATCGTCAACTTTCCGTTCGTTTGACCGTTAGTTGACACTTCAAAAAAGCTTTGTTTAGGGGAAATTGTCACAATACAACTTTGTTTCTTGGTTTGGCATTGCAGATGACTGAATATTTAGATATTCTATACCATCATGGTGGAGTCATGGACTTCTCGGGTTTGGAACTACGATATGTTGGTGGTTTTTCAGAGAAGATATTGATGAATATTGATGAAGTGTCATACTTCGAACTTTTTTGAAGTGTCAACTAACGGTCAAACAGAAAGAAAGTTGACGATTTGGATATTAGATTGTTTTCGAAAAGATTTGGCTATTATATTGTTTAAAATAAAAGGTTTAGATATTAAATTGTATTTACCCTTTAAATTTTGATATGTAGTATTCAATTGTAGTAATAGTATTCATATTTTATCTAAAATTTTGACAAAAAAATGTTAAATTATTAATTAATATAATATAATATTGACGCTCTATTCACACTTTTAATATTGAATTCTTGAAAAACATACGATATGACGCTATAGCTCTCGCTCTGCGCTCTGGTTACCTAAGTATAATCCCATCAATATGTCTATGAGGATCTAGCTGAGAAGATGTTCGTAATGGCAAGTGAACGGGCCACTATAGCTTGCTCGGCTGGTTTTTTGTTTCTCGAAGAGGGCAACTCGATGTTTTAAAATTCTTAGTATACATTTTGCAGAACTCTCTCTCGACGGCCTACTGCTAATTGGACTAATATCATCTCGGAGCTCGATTCGAAATCCGATGGCCGCCATTGAAATGCGTACTTCGAACGAGGAAGGCGAAGTGGCTATTTCGGCTTACGAAGTTGAGGAAGACGAGCACGGCTGCAAAGAACGAGTTCTTCACAAGTATTTCTTACTGGAATGGAAACTCGTCAAGTCCTTGCTCGACGAAATCCTCTCTAATGGCCGTGTCGTAGATCCTGCTTCTGTCCACAAGATCCGATCCATCGTACTTTTCCTAGACTCCGTTCTCCGAGTTCTCTGTTCAAAGTTTGATTCTTTGAATAATCGAACTCGCGATTGATTTGGATTCTGGCTTGTTTCCGTGTTATTGTGCAGATGGACAAGTACCAAGAGGAGGGGCAGCTTGTGGAACCATACCTGGAGAGCATAGTTTCACCATTGATGCTGATTATCCGTTCTAGAACAATGGAGTTGGGAGTTGCTTCGGACGAGATCCTCGAAGTAATCAAGCCGATTTGCATAATCCTGTACACTCTGGTTACGGTTTGCGGATACAAGGCTGTTACCAAGTTCTTCCCGCACCAAGTGCCCGATTTGGAGCTGGCAGTTTCGCTTCTGGAGAAGTGCCACAATACTGCTTCAACAACGGCGCTGCGGCAGGAAAGCACTGGCGAGATGGAGACCCAATGTGTCATTCTTCTGTGGCTTTCTATTCTTGTCTTGGTTCCCTTTGACATTTCCTCCGTCGATACAAGCATAGCAAGCAATAGCTTACGGAGCGAAGATGAGCCAGTTCCTCTGGTCTTGAAGATTTTGAGCTTCTCCAAGGACTATCTTTCAAGTGCTGGTCCCATGCGCACTATGGCTGGGTTACTGCTCTCCAGGCTTCTAACTCGACCTGATATGCCATTGGCTTTCACCAGGTTTGCCTCATCTTCTTCCATACTCTCTTTCTTCAATGTTGTTTCTGGGCATTCGACTATGTTCTTTTGATGTTCTGACATCATAGAGAATATCGATTTCTTTTTGAAACCTTTCTGACGTTTCACTTGATCATGTTGTTTTGAACTAGTTAATGGCATTAAGTATTTGCCTATGACTTTCATTGTTTGGTGCTTTTACTTATTGCTTCTGTTGGCTATATTAAGCTTTCTAGGATGGACACATGAAGTATTGTCTTCAGGAGCAGATGATACGCTGTCACATTTTCGGCTGCTAGGTGTTTTGGAAGCACTAGCTTCCATTTTCAAGGTGTGCATTGTATATTAACAGATACTAATGGAATTATGTATGTTATTATGCAACTGTTTCTAGCTATTAGGGGTTTAGGAAGCACTAGCTTCCAATGGGTATGTTATTTGCTGCACTTTCAAGGTTTACGCTGTCAGTTACACTCTAGAAGTATTAATGGAAAATGATGAGGCGAATGACTTTTGCATAGAAGTCCTTTCTCCCAAATTTAACTCATGTTGTTGTTAATCTCTTAGTAAGGGGATATATGCTATACATTTGTCTGTGCACTTTCTGCTTTTTAGATGTTTCTAAGACAACCATGTTTGACCAGGCAGGTGGCCGGATACTATTGATAGATGTTGTTCCCATTGCTTGGAATGATGTCTCATTGTTGTCAAAATCCAGCATGGCTTCTCGTAGTACTTTGCTCCGTAAGTTCTTGGTGAAGTTATCTCAACGGATTGCACTTACATGCCTCCCTCATCGTGCACCAGTCTGGCGTTATGTGGTTAGTCTTGCTGAATTGTACTTTATTTCCTGGTTTACATTTTATGCTATTTAATAACAAACTATTTACATGATCTATTGACCTGACTCTATACCAAATCCAATAAAAGCACTGATACAGAATTGTCTTGTGATTTTTAACAGGGAAAAACCAGTTCACTTAGAGAGAATGTTTCTTTGACTACAAATGACGGACCTGATGATTCCAGTCGTGATGTGGGGATCAATCCCAGCAAATCAGAGGGCAGTTCGAGATTCCTACAAGAAGACGACATGGAGATTCCAGAAATAATTGAAGAGATCATCGAGATGTTGCTTTCTGGACTGAAAGACACGGTATGTCTAAAGGGTGAGATTCTGAAACGATCCACGGCATTCTCCTCTGCTGGTTGATACAGAAAATTTTGGAACTTTGTATGAATAAGTTGAGAAAACAGTAGTTACACTCTTTTTTATCGGACAGAAGTAAACTTGGATTGCAATTTGTACCTCAGCTTGGTTTGATCCTTTCGAATATGCGACCTTCAATGATTTTCCTTCAATTTGTTTAAAAGGAAGAATAAAAGTAGGAAGGCATGTTTACTTCATTCGAGTAACGACTGATATTGATGTTATTATTATGTTGCTGGATTATATCCAATAGTTCTTAGGACCTCGTGCATAGTTTAATTCTCCAACGTAATAATTATGGCAACCTCTGCTTAAGATGTGTAAACAAGTTATCTAATACTTATACTGTAGCTTGTAAGCTAGCTAGCTGCCTGAAATCCCACCCGTGCTCAGCTTTTTGTTACTAAACTTATATAATATAGGTAAAAAATGCATCATCAGTTCTTTGCAAATTACCTTGTGAGAGAGACAGAAGGGTTTATCAATCTGTTGCTGAAGCTTCCACTGCCTGCATAGTTTCTCTGATTCTTATTGTTGTTGATGCAGGATACAGTTGTGCGCTGGTCTGCTGCAAAAGGAATAGGACGTATAACTTCATGTCTGACGTCTGCTCTTTCGGATGAGATCTTGTCCTCTGTTTTGGAGCTATTTTCTCCTGGTGAAGTAAGGGTGTTCTTGTCTTGTCTGCTTCATCATGATTTTGCTCCCAGATCTTAGGATTATAGTAATTACAACAATTTTATTTGCCAGGGTGATGGTTCATGGCATGGGGCTTGCTTAGCTTTGGCTGAACTTGCACGTAGAGGACTGCTGTTACCCACCAGTCTACCAAAAGTTGTACCTTTCATTGCTAAGGTTGTATTATTTATGGGTGTTTGGGAACTCTCATTTTCCTTGCTGACCTTTTGGCTTCAAGCTTTCATTTGGCTAGTTTGAGTTTTTACCTCGTTAAGACTAGACAATCTTCTCATGAACAGCAACAAAATTTCTAAATATTCATAAAATAAAATTTTCCCCTTGCTTTTGTTGGCCAGACGGTTATTGCCATACTTAGTTTTTCCTGGTCAATGTGCTTCATTCTTCACCAAACTGAATACACTCTGCTGTGACGGGAGTCATGTTTCCTTTATTTATTGTCCATTTGGTGAAAAAGGAAATTGTTGTAAGACACATTCACATATCATGTTCAAGTTCTGTCCTTACTCCTTACATTTTAGCCAAATCAGCTGTGAAACTTTGCAACTAAGCACACTGCATTAGTTATGTAATTTTTGTGGTTTTCTAACATCTGGAAGATAATCTGAGAGTGTTCAACTTGCTATGACACCTGGTTTTGTTCATGTGCTCTATATGGTACATCTCTGAACTCGAGGGAGAGTAGTTATAAGTTACTTTATGACTTATTGCTAACTCGACTTCTGACGTTTCACCTCAATGTCCTGACCCTTGCTTAAAACAAATATTGCATGGTTGGAAGGATAAGAGATGACTTGTACTTTCACAACCATCCATGTCAGCTAGGGGCTGTATGACCTACTATTTTGTTTCTTTTCATAGTTTAACTTGTTTTCTTAATCTAATATAACTGGTTGGGTGAAGTTGCGTATTCTAATTTTATTTAGCTTTTTCTTTCATCGATAAAGTCAGTATGTGACTCCTACTTTGATCATTTTTTCAAAACTGGTGGCAAAAGCTCTTTAACATTGACTATGATATATTTCCTTCAACAGGCCTTACATTATGATGTTCGAAGAGGCCCACATAGTGTTGGATCCCATGTACGTGACGCTGCAGCATATGTTTGTTGGGCCTTTGGTCGTGCATATTATCATTCTGACATGAAATGTGTACTGGAGAAGCTTGCTCCGCACCTCTTAACAGTGGCCTGCTATGATCGGGAGGTGATAATGAATTTATGACTCTGTTTTCTCTATTTCTTGCAATAATCTTTACCTGAGAAGCATTTTATCAGTTGCGTTCGCATGAAGGAAACTTATATTTGTATTCATCAGGTGAATTGCAGAAGAGCAGCTGCAGCTGCTTTCCAGGAAAACGTAGGAAGACAAGGGAATTATCTTCATGGCATTGACATTGTCAATTCGGCAGATTATTTTTCACTTTCCTCGCGAATTAACTCTTATCTTCATGTGGCCGTCCATATTGCTGAATATGATGGATATGTGTATCCATTTGCAGAAGAACTTCTGGATAACAAGATAGGCCACTGGGTAAGGTCCAAAACACTAACAATGTCTGCTTTTGTTTTCATTTATCTTCCAGTGGAAGTAGTTGCTGTCATGATTGCTTTGCAGTGGAGTATAAGTTCGGCCCTTGGTGATATGCATGTCAAAGTTCATGCACATTGGTTGGGGATATGTACTGTCAAGTGTCAATAGGCTTCTAAATGTGGTGTGAAATATGTTCGCTGCCTGTGCAAGTATGTTGGTTTGCATTTTGTATCTTTTGGTTGTTGTAATACGGTACTTACTCATGGTTGATCTCTGTAGGATAAAGGCTTGAGAGAACTTGCTTCCGAGGCTCTTTCTGCTCTTGTCAAATATGATCCTCGATATTTTGAACACTTTGTCTTAGAGAAACTAATTCCTTCAACACTCTCATCCGATCTATGCTTGCGTCATGGTGCAACTTTAGCCGCCGGGGAAGTTGCACTAGCCCTGCATCAATGTCAATATACTCTAACGACAGGTTGGTGATCTGAATTGTCTGATAAGAAGTTGTATCTTACAAGAGATTCATTCCTTCAGAATTTAAATGACCTATATCATCAAAATATCCGAGCAATTATGTGGGATGTTTGTTTCAAAGCTCAAAGCAGTTGTATTTTCAATGGCCCTTTAGTTTTTGATATGATGGGTATGGAATGTTCTTTCCTGAAGAAATGCATATCCAATATCAAGTGGAGATATGGAATTGATATGCTTTATTCAGACACAATGATGAACATGATTCTTACCTTGAGACTTAAAAGCTGCCTAATGGAAATAGTTGTATTTTCTACTGCCCTGCTTTAGTTTTTAATATGATGGGTATGAAATGTTCTTTCCTGAAGAAATGCATATTCAATATCAAGTGGAGATATGGAACTGAAATGCTTGATTCAGACACAATGATGAACATGATTCTTACCTTGAGACTTAATTGCTGCCTAATAGAAATAGTTGTATAGACTACTAATATGTGCTACATCTTATGTCTTGGGGGTAGTCGCATAATTGAGTTCCTTCACTGGAGCTTATCAAATGTCAACAACTTATTACCTGTCCCCTTTAACTTTGGTAGATAAACAGAAACAACTTGCTGGACTTGTATCTGCTATTGAGAAAGCACGTCTCTATCGAGGGAAGGGCGGAGAGATAATGCGTTCTGCTGTTTCTCGGTTTATCGAATGCATCTCTTTGTCTGGTGTGGTGATACCCGATAAGATTAGACAAAGTTTGCTTGACACTCTTACAGAGAATTTGAGACATCCTAATAGTCAAATACAGGTGATGTTTATTTATAGGTATTGCATTTGCTTCCTTAATAGCTAGTGCTTGTTCATAGGTATCACAGAGCCGTTGTTTTATTCTTTTTGAACTTCTTGTTTTTGTATATCACGATGGAAACAGAGCGCTGCTGTTAAAGCACTGGACCATTATGTTCGAGCTTATTTAGTGGCTGCAAGCAGTGTAGGAACAAGCAGCACCATAGTGTCAAAGTACCTTCAACAGTTGACAGACCCCAATGTTGCAGTAAGAAGAGGGTCTGCCATGGCATTAGGTGTTTTGCCGTATGAAATTTTGGCTGACAGGTGGAAGGATGTGATTTTGAAGCTCTGCAAATCTTCTGCAATTGAGGTGCACTTTGATGGGCAGGCCTTGTTTGGATACTCTTGATTTCAGGGCTTCAAACTAACTGGTTAATTTACTGTATACAGGATAACCCTGAGGACAGAGATGCTGAAGCACGAGTAAATGCGGTCAAAGGACTTGTATTAGTGTGCAAGACCTTAAATCAGGCCAGTAAACTTCCAGCAATGTTGTTGTCTGAACAGGATTGTTGCTTATCCCTCTATCACTTGATGAAGAATGAAGTAATGATGAGTTTACTTAGAGCTCTTGATGATTATTCTGTTGACAATAGAGGCGATGTGGGTTCTTGGGTCCGTGAGGCTGCCATGGAAGGTCTTGAGGAGTGTACATATATCCTGTCTTCTGTGGATTCCACTATTAAATCAAATACCAGGGAATCTGGATCAGAAATCCTTCCATTTTTAGATGAAAAACTTGCTACTAGTGTAATTGGAGGAATTGTCAAGCAAGCTGTAGAAAAGATGGATAAACTAAGAGAAGCTGCTGCAAAGGTTCTTCAAAGGATTTTATACAACACAAAGCCGTTTGTCCCATTCATACCGTACAGGGAAAAGCTAGAGAAAATTATTCCAGACAAATCAGAGACAAAGTGGGGGGTAGGTGGTGCCATATTTGTTTCCCTTTTGCTTTCTCTACAATTCAAGGTTTACTGACAAAGGACCTGTGCCGCCCTTTTGCTGCAGGTACCGAACTTTTCATATCCACGATTTGTGGAGTTGCTCCAGCTTAGCAGCTACAGCCGATTTGTGGTATCTGGTTTAGTGATTTCAGCGGGTGGTTTGCAAGACTCTTTGAGGAAGGCATCTGTTGCGGCATTGCTGGATTTCCTTCAAGTGGCAGACTCAACTGAAGTGGAGCATCAGAAGAGAAAGTCAAGAGAGAAAATGCTTAGTAGTGACATCCTTTGGGTTCTTCAACAGTACAAGAGATGTGACAGAGTGATCGTGCCGACTCTGAAGGTAAATGGTAACATTTAGTTACTTTTGTTTAATGAGAAGGTCTAAGAGTGGAGTCTTTTGTACCGTTTTCTGTAATATGTGAGTTTACTGATGTTGTATTGAAATAACTTGAGGCTTCTTGTTCTGTTTTCAGACAATTGAAATCCTCTTCAGCAGCAAGATTTTCTTCGACATGGAGGTGAAAGAAATCGCTTTTTTCTCACTGCACAAACTCTTTCATGGATTTTTGACTCAGTTGATTATATCTTGTATTTGATTTAACAGGCAGATGGTCGAAGCTTTTTTGCCGGCGTGTTGGAGTGTCTTGTCGTGGAATTGAAGGTGTCGAAGGACTTTGGGAAGCTATATGCTGGGATTGCTATACTAGGCTACATTGCTTCGACATCAGAACCCACAAATATTGGGGCCTTCAAACATCTTTTAACTTTCCTTAGCCATCGATATCCCAAGGTCGGCCTCCTCTTAGTTTATTGCAAAAAGTTGATATAAGCATCTTTCTCTCGTTGCGTTCATTTATTTATCACTAGGCATGACGAAGCAGCTAGGTATATGCTTTGGTTTCCTCATTTTTGCCCTCTCCACTCTTGCGAATCACAGATAAGGAAGGCTTGTGCGGAACAGCTGTATCTTGTTCTCCTGCAAAACTCTGATCTGTTGCCGGAGGAAAAGATGGAAGGAGCGGTGGAAATCATTTCTGAAACATGCTGGGATGGGGATGTGGATGGCGCAAGGAAGCAGTTGGTGGAGCTGTGGAAAATGGCTGGTCTGGAACTTGGAGAACTCAAGCTTGGGAATCGGGCATCTAGAAAGACACGTGGCGAAAAGCCGAGATCAAACGAGGATGAGGATGCCTCGTATTCGTCGCTGGTCGAATCATCTGGTTTCTAATAGACCTTAGACTGGAAATGGGTGATGTAATCCTGTTATTCACTTGTAAGCTTTGGTGGTGATTTGTTGTTGGTGGGAGAGGGGAGAAGCTAACAAGACTCTAAAATTTTGGTATTCTCGTGGTCTCCGACGCCTTATCATGTAATCCTGTGTGTTTCCTTTATTCTGGGCATCGGAGATTTCTAGTGACAGAAACTAGTGACTTCACTGACTGATTGGTATCTTTGATCTGTAATTTATGAGGAGCTCAACTGCCCGCCGTTAACTGGCATCCATACCACTAGTACTGCCCACACTTGACCCATAGCATGTGACTCGTACCTAACTACATTTCCCCAACTTGTTGACATTTGATAAGCGCCAGTGAAGGAACTCAATTATGCGACTACTCCAAACACATAAGATGTAACACATATTAGTAGTATATTCAACTAGATAGGGAGGACCTAACGAACCACCACACACATGCGCGTGCGTGCTGTCCATCCGACCGACCGGTCGGGAGAGCAGGCGAGAGAGCAAGCGAGCGAGTGGTTGGGTGGGTCGACCGGGGACTGACTTATATTTTTTAGAGAAATTCTGAGGTGTAATTATCTTCCTAATTAATCCGACTTATTCCCCAAATAAGAGAGTATATTCTTAGGGGTTTCGGCTTCTATAAATAGCCGTCTCCCCAACCCCTCTAAACACACCAAAAAACGAGAAGAAACACGAGAGAGAGAGAGAGAGAGAGAGAGAGAGAGAGAGAGAGAGCTCCGGTTTTTGCACAAAGCTGCTGAGCACACAGGAGTTGTTTTTATCCTGGAGACGACCGGTTGATAGTTTGTTGTGCGCAACGAAGGCAGTGCCGCGAACGTTTTAAAGAAAGCGATTTAGTCCGCGACTCAGCTCCAAAATTCGATAATCATTCTCCTTGTTGTTCCGTTCATAACACCTTCTGCCGAGGCTTGATCTCCGACCGTGGTTTGACGAGGCCGACAGGCTGTGGCGGATGGTGACGGGGGAGAATGCACAGATGGTGACGTGGTCAAAATGAGAAATCTAATAAAATAAATTATAAGATTAATCATTTTAATTTTGTTTAAAGCATTATTTTTATTTTTTTAAATACGTGACATCCATGTCAACAATATGTGCTTACTCACTAATGATCAACTGTGTTGACCGTCCAATTTGTTGGTCAAAACACGCGTCTAGCCAAACTAGTCTATATTGAGAGTATAATAGGAATTTCTAAAACCATGGATAAAAGTTGACTATTTGGGTATAGTTCGGGCCAATTTAAGGTATTAACCCTAACTTAGATAGGGTCCAAGATGAGGTTTATTAGGGGCATTCAAATGGTTACCGTGGTAATTACCAAACCAATTAAGCCTAAATTTTATTAACCATGAAATAAAATGTCTTAACCAAACCGTCCAAATTAACACGAAACCAAATTAACTAAACCAAAGTTTACTTGGTTTGGTTAATCGGATTAGCCAAATAACATAACATTACATGAAAATAATTATCTTGTTAACGAATAAACCAAATAATATTACTTGAGGAGTTATTGAGATGAAGGCAAAATTGTCGGTTCGATTGTCTCTCCCTCTCAATCTAGGGTTCAATATTTTGATGAGTGAGAATTGGAAATGGGGATTAAGGACAGAGGACAACAAACGTTTGGTTTTGTTTGGTGCAGAGAGAGGCCCACTTGTTTGGTTTTGTTTTGGTTTAGTAAATAGGAAGCTCATTTAATTTTTGGTCACAATGTTTTGGTTTGTTGGGAACATTGAAATAAAATAGGAAATTATGAAATTTGTTTTTTTTTTTGGTAGGAAAGTGGGACGCTAAAAGGGCGCCCCCGCCTGAAACTTAGATTAAACGGATTTGGGAAATACCCAGAGTGTCATACAAGACCCAAAAAGCTAAACCAGAGTCAGAGACCTCAAAATCATGATAACCAATGTTACTAGTATGGCCCTTGTTGGCCAGAAAATCTGCTGCCTTGTTCCCTTCTCTGTAGATGTGGGAAATCTTCACTTCCCAGCTTTTATTGAGTAGCTCCTGGAATTGCTGAACCAGGATACAGTACCTTTGCTCCATGTGATCACTGGAGGAGAGGATGTTAATTGCTGTTGTGGAATCCATTTGTAGGAGGACCTTCCTGTAGCCGTTCCTCCACGCAAGCTGGAGCCCTCGGATGGCCGCCATAATTTCAGCTCGAGTTATCGTGCACACTCCGAGGTTCTCCACAAACGCTCCCATGCATTTCCCAGACCAATCGCGAATCAATCCGCCGCCAGCAGCCGTCGATCCTGGTTGTTTCACTGAGCCGTCTGTGTTCACACACACCCAATCCTGAGGCGGTGGGATCCAAGCACACTGATGAGCTGATTTCTCTGTCACTGCTTCTTTGATTGCCTTGTCATCTGTTAGAGCTTGTCTGATGGTCGTCGTCCAGCAACGAATCCGGTGCGCCAGCACATGATCCTCCTGATTCAAATTATGGAACACCTTCTCGTTTCGTCTTTTCCAGAGGTACCAAGCTGCTACTCCGAATAAGAGACCTTCCCTGTCCTCCCTGAGGTGCTTGTCCAGCCATGCTGCAAAGCCAAGGCCGCACGTAAGCAGATCATCATGAATTCCCAGAATACGGGAGCTCGAACAGTGGCGCAAAATGTGTTCTGCTGTTTCTGCCTCAGATCCGCAAGTCGGGCAGGTGTCAATCATGGTAAGTTTCCTCCTCTTCCGCTCCGCGTTCGTCATTAGCCTGTCATGGAAAACCAACCACAAGAAATGTTTAATCCTGTTAGGGCCGGCCCAATTCCAGAGTTTCTTCCAGTGCGGTTGGGCGGCCGTCTCTTCTAACGCGGGCTCGTCGTCACTCAACCACTCCACGGCCGCCAAGTAGGCAGAGCGGAGTTTAAACTTCCCATCCTACTCCATACCCAGGCTGTGATGTCTTCCCCCAGCCCCTCCTTCGGCGGATCAGTACCTGCAATCAAAGCAACAAAATTTGGAGTTAGATGTTGCACAATCTCATTCCACTTCCACTCACCTTCGGCAGTAGCCATATCTGCCACTGTGGCATGCCAATCGATCTCCGCTCCATCGCCAGTAATCTGGTCCCTCAGGACAATCCCCTCGGCAAGCCAAGAGTCCGTCCAAAAGTGGACATTACAACCTCCCCGAATGTCCCACACAATACGTTGCTTCAGAATAAGCCAAGTATCAACAATTCCTCTCCAAAGCCTTGAGAAATTGCTTTTTTTCATGATCATGGCACCTGCAGCATTAGTTGTAAAATATTTCCCCTGCAGAATGCGGATCCATAACTCATCTGATTGGTTTATAAATAATAATTATGTATATTAGGTATATTATTAATTAGTTAATTGGTTTCATTGGTTAGCAGTATTGAAACCAAACAAAAGTACCAAACCACCTAAATTAAATAAGCTAAATTGTTTAACCAAACCAATTATCCAAATTAATCAAAATCAAATTACCGGATGCTCTCGGTTAATATGACTACCACGGTAACTTCACCGTTTGAACACCCATATGGTTTATGCATCAATCCATAACTAAATATGGATCTTTGGATTTTAGTGGGCCAGGAAAATTCATATATAAGGGGTGAGATTTAATGACTTTTATTTTCTCTAGTTTTCTTAATCGGCTCTTATCTTCTTCGTTTTAACTTGGATTTCATTTTTTTTTTTTTTTGCACAGATGGAACGAGTTTGTTGTGATCTACACAATAAGATCCATTTTCAATGTATTTCGACAAAAAAATTCATACCAATCATTTCCACCTTCGTTTTTAACTCGAATCTTGAAATTTTTTGCAAAGATGAAACATATCTTCTTAACCTATTGGATCTACAAGTTTTGAGGAAAAAATACGGGACTATAATGTACCTTTCCATACCACCCTGGTATAGGGTGGCAACTAGTAGTACACAATAATGAATGTGGTAATGAATGTGGTAAATGACAGTCCATATATTCATATTATCATGTATTTCAACCATCCTACACTGTTATATCCATACCACCATTCCCAAAGTGGACAGACCGGAAATGGTAACGCAGCTTAGACCAATCTCGCTCAACAATGTGAGTCTGAAAACCATTACCAAGGCGATGGCTCACCGCCTCAAGCCCCTTATGCGGAAGTGGATTTCTCCAAGGCAAAGCAGCTTCATCCCAGGACGACAAACGACAGACAATATCATCGTGGTCCAAGAGATTCTGCACTCTCTCAGGAAGTGAAAAGGGCGAAGAGGTGGAGTGGTGATAAAGATTGACCTGGAGAAGGCGTACGACAGACTTCGATGGGACTTTCTCCGAGACACCTTGATAGAGATCGGTCTTCCCAGCTCCTGGATCAACTGCATCATGTTCTGTGTTGAAAAGAATAAGATGCGCATAGCCTGGAATGGAGAGCTCTCAGATGCTCTCACCCCCATCAGAGGTGTTCGGCAGAGAGATCCTCTTTCCCCCTATCTCTTTGTTTTGTGCATGGAACGTCTTTCTCATAGAATTGGTCAGGCCATCTAGGAGAAACGATGGAAACCCTTGACGCTCTCCCCCGGTGGCCCAAAACTCTCCCATCTTTTTTTTTTTTGCAGATGATCTGATGCTCTTTGCGGAGGCGGGGCTTGGTTAGATAGCAACTATTAAGGAGTGCATGGAGGAGTTTTGTTCTAGCTCGGGACAGCGAGTGAACCTTCAGAAATCACTGATCTTTGTCTCCCCTAATGTGCCGAGAAACACCACTGCTGCCTACAACAACCGGGCAGAGATTCCTCTCACCTCAGATATAGGGAGATACCTGGGTGTCATGGCCATTAATTCTAGAGTCACCAAAGACCGATATAGAGAGCTAATCCTGAAGGTTCAGAAGAAGCTCTCATCCTGGAAAGCTAAGAAACTCTCTCTTGCTGCTCGTTTAACTGTTGTACGTTCAGTGTCTACCTCCATCCCTGTTTATTCCATGCAGATAGAGATGTTCCCATCCTCAGTATGCAAGGAGATTGACAAGTTCAACAGGAATTTCCTTTGGGGCGACACAAAGGACAAAAAACACTCTCACCTCGTGGGATGGAAGAAGCTCCTCGAACAGAAAGAGAATGGAGGAGCTGGTCTTCGTTCGCTAAGACACTCAAATACAACGCTCCTGGAAAAAAGCGGATGGAGGGTTCTGCAAGAGAAAGATACTTTGTGGACTCAAGTCGTGCGGGGGAAGTACGGACGGAATAGAGAAGGACTCTCAATTCTCGAGGGCAAACATGGAAGTTCCTTCACATGGAAAAGCATAACCAAAGCTAATCCTATTCTCCGAAAAGGATGTGCTTGGAACATTTCAAATGGGAAAAACACCAAGTTCTGGACTGACATTTGGGCTTTGCAGGTACCACTGAAGGATGTTGCAGTGTCGCCGATCTCGGAGATGGAGGCTCAGAAACCAGTAGCTGCTTACATGAATGACGACGGCCAATGGCTGGTGGAGCTCTTCCAACAATGGCTACCAACGAATGTCATGGATAAGATCACGACGATAGCTACAGATCTGCTCTCTACTGAAGAAGACAGATTATGCTGGCAGCCCACCTCTACCGGGGATTTCACAGCTAAATCTGCTTACCGGATTTGTTGAGGATATTAATTATGTAGTAAAAAATAATTAATTCCTTGTCCTCCAAGTTCCTTGTTTCCTTGTCCTTGTCAAAGAAGGAAACTTGGTTGTCATTAGGGTTTTAACCTTACGTCTATCTATATAAGCTTAGCTACGAGATTGTCGTAAGCAAGCCGTCACAATGTAGTCCCATAATAAAATCGTTAGATGTGAGCTCTTCCGAGCTCACCGTGGATTAGTCTCGATCAATCAATCGATCGAGGATACCACGTAAAATCTTGTGTTCCGTGTTATTTCGTATTTCCGCATCATCAAATTCTACATGGTATCAGAGCGAAACTCGATCATTGATTAGGGTCTTGAGCTTCCGCATCAGCATCCGATCCGTTGTCTCACCAGTGATCCTCTGCTCGCTGACTGATCTGCCTCCTTCGACCGATCAACCTCGTCCGGTCTTCGACCAAGTCCATAGACCATAAGTCCATGGCGCCACCGTATCAGTGCCCTCGTTAGTCCGCCTCGGTCATCAGCCATGCTCTTATCATCAATCACGCCGGCTTCGTCTCCAGGTCTGTTTCGGATCCAAGTCATCATCGCTTCCCCACTCAAGCATCGTCGGCAGCTCCTGAATCGCCGGCCAGTCAAGCCTCCACGTTGTTCGGAGCTTTCATCGCGGCATCTCCTTGCATCGAGGCGCCTTTGCCAATTCTACATCGTCATGGTCAGCAGCGATAATATTGTCATCAATTCCGTCGAGTCATCCGTTGTCAGGTTGAAGTCCGTGCTTTAGTGTCCGCCATCCGTAGCCCGGCGCTGTCAAAGCTTCGGTCGGCCTCCTTAGTTTGCTGTGTTTCAATCGCAGTCACTCTGTCCAGTCCAAAATCTATGCTCGGCTGGAGTTTTTTGTTCGTTCAACTCGATTGTAGGAAGCTGCGTGGTCATTCTTGCGGCTGGCTGGTCTCATCGAGCACTCATGATCGGTCCTTTGATCCTATCGTCCAATGCCCTCTCAGCTGCGCTCCATGTATTCTTCTAATTTCCTTTTAATGGTTGTTTGTCTTCAGCAGGTAGTTAATGAAGGAAGGGACCAAGTTGGTCATCATGCGTGAGATTCATGCTTGAGATAGTCTTCCATCAGTTACTACTTACTTGCATCACCACCATGGATTCATTGAGTTTTGTTGTCTCGGAGGGGCATTGAAATTGATTGAAAATTGCTACAAAGATGGGTCAAGTCAACGTCATCAATTCTAGGTCACAAATTTGTCACATGTCCACAGGAAACAAATCTCCAAAGTCATGAAGTTGGAGATAATTACGACCCAAGTATTGGTGTCACTTCAATTTTTAGTGTTGGAGAAAAGAAAGTTTTCGTCAAGGTGCGAGGCAGTCACGATCAAAGAAGCGATTGTCCCCTCCGCATTCAGAATTGTTCAAATTTGAGTCCTCACCATTCTAACTTTCAAGTTGGACATTCACGTCGTTCATGCTCCAACTTGAGGGGGAGAATAGGACATCATCATATGTGGTCAATCAGTTCAGCATATCGACCATGGTGTATCAGTCAAGGAGGTTCCCTAGTCTCATTCAAGAGAGACGATAGTCAGAAGTCTCAATCGGTCTCATTCAAGAGAGGCGCAATCAACAGCCTCTCGGTCAATCTCATCCAGGTAGAGGCGCAGTCAACCGTCTCACCATATCATACGGATAGACGTAGTCAATCGTCTCCGTCAAGTCATTCAAGAGACGCAGTCAACCGTCTCCGTCAGGTCGTTCAAGAGACTCAATCAAACGTCTCCGTCACGACGTTCAAGAAGATGCAGTCAACTGTCTTCATCAGGTTGTGCAAAGGAGAGAGTCAGTCGTCTCCAAATCAACCTCGTCCGAGAGATTATTCATCTCGAGTTTTGTTGTTCAAGCTTGTCATGCTTGTTCGTCACATTTCCTTTGTAGAGCTCGACATTCTTGTCACTCATGTCTTCGCTTGAGGGGGAGTGTTGAGGATATTAATTATTTAGTCAAAAATAATTAATTCCTTGTCCTCCAAGTTCCTTGTTTCCTTGTCCTTGTCAAAGAAGGAAACTTGGTTGTCATTAGGATTTTAACCCTACGTCTATCTATATAAGCTTAGCTACGAGATTGTCGTAAGCAAGCCGTCACAATGTAGTCCCATAATAAAATCGTCAGCTGTGAGCTCTTCCGAGCTCACCGTGGATTAGTCTCGATCAATCAATCGATCGAGGATACCACGTAAAATCTTGTGTTCCGTGTTATTTCGTATTTCTGCATCATCAAATTATATAGGATTGCCTTTCCTGCTCCCCAGACTACTGATCAGCAGACCTGGAAAGCAGTGTGGAACCTTCAAGTTCCGGAGCGCGTTAGACACTTCATCTGGCTGGTTCTTCTCCATCGCATCAAAAGGCACCTAGCTCCTAATCCTTTTTGTCCCAGGTGTGTTAATGTGCTAGAGACCGAGCTTTATATCCTGAGGGACTGCCCGGCCTCCCTCTTCTATTGGACAAGGGAGGTGCCAACAAACAACATGGTGGATTTCCTGACAGCAGACCTTGATCAGTGGGTTCGCACGAATATCCTTAACACGAAGACGGACAGTAATGGCGTCCCCTGGGCCTCAAGCTTCAGTATTGCCCTGTGGACTCTTTGGAAGAACCGGAACGAAGGTGTATTCAGTGATGGTAGCAAGTTTTTGTCTCCCCACTCTCTGCGGCATGCTATCCACCTTAAGGTTAATCTTTGGCACTCTGCCTGGATGGCTCCTTCACTGTTGTAGCTTCGTGGTAATCGAAAGTCGGACAGGGCCAAGGCGGATGTTGGCTGGAGTGCACCACCTAGGGGTTGGTGCAAACTTAACGTTGATGGAGCTTCTCAAGGAAACCTCGGGAAGGCGGCAGCAAGATGAGTCTTCAGGGATGATCAACGACGCTGGCTGGGGGGGGGGGGGGGGGTTCTACTACTCCATTGGTGACTGTTCGCCGGCTTGTGCAGAGCTTTGGGCTATTAAGTAGGGTCTGGAGATGGCATGGAGGGGAGGATTCAGGCTCCTCAGGTTGCTTGCGCATGACTGGTTGGTCAATATAGTACATACTTACCGTGAAGGGAATAGAGTCGCGGACTGGCTCTCGAAGCACGATCTCGTCTATCCCCATGATATGTATGAACTAGTTGACCCGCCAGCCCCTTTAATGCACATTCTGCAGGATGATGAACGAGGTGTGGTTTTACCTCTGAACATTGTCCATCTCCCCCAAACCCCCTGTAACTCTTTCTTTGTTCTTGGCGTTTGCCTCCAATCGATCAAAAAAAAAAAAAAAAATCCATACCACCATAATATACTTTCATACTATCTTATGTAGTACCAAACTGTAACTCTTTCTTTGTTCTTGGCGTTTGCCTCCAATCGATCAAAAAAAAATATCCATACCACCATAATATACTTCCATACTATCTTATGTAGTACCAAACGGAACCACCATGTTATTGACTAGTGCTCAATGTCTCTGTTTTAAATATATCAAAGTGCATATCATTTTGAAGAGTACAATTTATTATCTGATGTAAAAAAAAAAAATTACGACTTAGATATAGCCTGTTAAAATTTATAGGAGAATGATTAGAAGCCTTTTATATATGGTGATGTGACTCTGATGTGATAAATTTTATAAGTAGCCTGTTAAAATTTATAGGAGAATGATTAAAAGCCTTTTATATATGGTGATGTGACTCTGATGTGATAAATTTTATAGGGTTATTGACCACAAAATTATTATGCACCTGATCCGCTCTCTTGAATATTACAACTACCACAATTCTCAAATTTTAAGTGGTACAAGTACCAAAACATCTCACAATGAGAAACAATATTAAAAGAGTACGGCTACAACTCCTGCGAATCTTTCAATGATTCATTCTTAGAGAAGCTCCAAAACCAAAGCTGATGCCCCACCACCTCCATTGCACACGCCACCGACGCCATACTTCCCGTTCTTCTGCCTCAGCACCTACACACATCACCATTGCAAACGCATAATGAGCAAAAACTTTGTAATACTACACAGAAAATGGTGAAGGTTCGATTATGGACGTACTCCCAAAAGGGTAACCAAGATCCGAGCTCCGCTGCATCCCAGTGGATGCCCCAGGGAGACTGCACCGCCATGCACATTGATCTTTTCCTGGAAAAAGGAGATCAAGAACAAGGATGGACATGTAAATCATCAATTGATAACCATGTGGTAGACATCTTAGGCGTCATGTAAAAAGAGAGGAGTGGTGGTACTTACTGGGTTGAGACCGAGCAGCTTCTGGTTTGCAAGGGCTACAACCTGCAGAAGTAAAAGATTAAAACTTGTTTAGTTCTGGATAATTAACTACTTTATCTCATCTGCAGGAAATGCAGAGCTAGATATTACTGCAAAAGCTTCGTTTATCTCGTAGTAATCGACTTGGGAAGCATCCAATCCAGCATTCGAGATGGCTTTAGGTATGGCAAGAGCTGGAGCTGTGGTGAAAAGTTCTGGTGCCTGTATAAAGCCGATTTCCAAAGAAAATGGTCCAGAAGAACTTAGAACAAAATGAATATCAAGGAATATGGTGAACTTATAGCATCCTTTCTGGGCAACATTTTGAGGATTATTACCTGTGCAGCATCAGCATAACCAGAGATCTTTGCAATCACTTGTAATCCGAGGCTCAGTGCCTTCTCTCCGCTAACTAGAACTAGAGCAGCAGCACCATCACTGGCAATTCAGCAGAATATTAATTAAGATTATATGTTCAAGATTTGCTAGGATTACTGAAAAATCCAATTCAGCTTATTTGGAACACTGGCTTGAACCCCTTAGGCTTACAAATTGATACACAGTGGAGAAGTAAATAGATGAACGAAATATACTTGCATACCATAACAACTGTTTAGTAAAAAAAATTTCAGCCCAATTATTTGAAGCTCGGGGATATATAAACTGGAGTTTAAACAGTAAACCTGATGCTAGAAGCATTCCCAGCTGTAACGGTTCCTCCATTCGGTTTGAAACTCGGTCTGAGCTTCCTTAATTTTCCAGCATCAAACTGTCAAAACATGGAAATAATAAGGAACTTTAAGAAGTGCAGCACAGAAATCGGATGGCACAACAAATTTCACGCTCTTTACAATCATACATACGGAACTCATGGATAAAAAGGCTGAAACCATATCATAGATTTTACCTTCCCTAAACCTTCATCTTTATCAACAATGGTTGATGGCTTTCCCCTTCCACCGGACACTTCAACCTATGATCAAGCCTAATTAACATAAAGCATCCAAAATCAATGGAAGAACAACTATAATTAAGACTAGATGTCTAACCGGAACAATTTCCCACGCAAAGGCATCAATGTCCTGTGCAGCGATACCACGCTCAAAACTTTGCACAGCATAGTCATCCTGCATTCATCAGCAAAGAGAAAAACCAATTGAGGGCACGAAAAGAAAAAGTTAAAACCATAATCTTCAGGCAGACTGAGAACAAGCAACAACTCAATACCTGCTGCTCCCTTGTGATGGAATGCTGTTCTGCACAAATTTCAGCACAGTTACCCATGCCAACATCGTTATAAACATCCCATAATCCATCCTTAAGCATCCCATCTACTAGTGAATCATGCCCGAGTCGGGATCCCTTCCTGTATACAGCAGTCATACTGCATTGATCAGACTACGTCTCGAATGCTTATTCCCAGAATCATAAAAACGTTTTTAAGACAGTAACCTTGCTTCTGCCAGATACTTGGGTACATTCGACATGCTCTCCATGCCTCCTGCTACAACAACATCGTGGATCCCTAACTGAATACTTTGTGCCGCAAGCATCGTTGCTGCAAACATCATCAGGCAAGCATCGTATCATTCCCCATACACTTTTTGCATTAAGATTAAAATATAATGACAGTAATCAAGGTAAACCCGTGCACACCTTTCATGCCGGAAGCACAAACTTTGTTGACCGTCGTGCATATGACTGTATTGGCTATTCCTGCACCCAATGCAGCCTGCCTGGCCGGAGCCTGGCCCAAATTCGCGCTGAGTACATTGCCAAAGAAGACTTCCTGGACTAGCGAAGGATCGACATTGGCTCTCTTAAGTGCAGCTGCAAACCGAGGTAACAACTACTGAGGACGAAGAAGATTAAAGTGGGACATGCATCACACAAGAACACATTGAGTAGTTGATACATTTACCTTGAATGACTATAGATCCGAGCTTGGTTGCAGGAACAGACGACAATGAACCAAGAAATCCACCCATTGGAGTTCTTGCAACTCCAACAATGCAAACATCTACACAATATTTGTCTCAACCATCAGTAAAACAAATCAAGAGGGTAAACCGCGTGGGTTTTTCCTCGAGTGAAGGAACTACCTTTGGGCTTAATATCTGAAGCTGGGGCCATGGATATGCTTCAGATGGAACTCTGCAGTCCTACAAAAGGAGGAATCAACAGAATGCAGAAAGGTCGTTCTCAGCTTAACCTAACACACAGAATCCGATGAAAAGGGAACAGTCATTCTCAGGTTTTGCTGTCAGTCAGGAAAAGGAAAAGCATCCGCCACTTAAGAAAGAGTCCAAAAGGAAATTAAATTCACTTGCAAGAAAGAAAGAGTTCGACTTTCACCCAAAACTTGGACTATAAGTCCAATTCAGCAGAACCCATTGAAGCAAAAGAGAGCGGGGGAAACAGGGACAGATTAAAACCCGGAGGGATTAGAGTTCGCCGGAGATCGGGGGGAAAGAACGAAGATGAATAATAACAATGTTCTTGTCATTACCTGGCGGTGGGCGGGTAGTGATCGGCGGTGAGAGTGACTGATCTGGGAAACTGAGAGACTGAGACAAGTAAGGGACGGAAATGGGAAAGTGGGGTTTTTCTTTGTAATCAACGAGTAGGTGTTAGCACTGACTGAGACTGACTGTATATATAGAGGCGAGCGGGTGATGGGATTTGAACATCAAACAACAACTACCAAGATTCCCCGGCGGGCGGGCGGGCGGCCGTGACTGATCGTTTAGTGTTGTGGGACGCAAATACGGACTATATTTGTATTTGTTAACGCTCCCACCAATGTAACGTTTTTCTCACCTGGCGGGCGCCCAATTAATAATACTTGGAAATATCAAAAGCGGCCCTTTGTTGAATGTTCATCAATGATCGTCTCACGTCCAGCACTAGAAAGAAAGAAAGGGTGTCCTGGCAAATGTATTTGGTCGTTAGATCGATATTTATGTACCCATCCGCTATCGCAAATGTGTGGTTAGGTGATCTAATATGAATCAGTTCGTGTATACACTTGCTTCTATGAGCATGAAAAATAGTATCGTACTAGTGGTTTGATCAAAAAAATTATCTTTTGGAGTCCAAATTGATATAAGATTTTACCAATACCATAATACCCTACCATAATAAAGAAGTCTTTGGACAAGAATTAGCACATGCATGTATAGATAAAGAAAGAAGGGGGGAAAAGCCCAACAGACCATCCCTAATTTCGTTGATCTCACTCCCACAAAGAGCAATGAGTTGCCATGTGCAAATAGGAAAAATCGACATTTCTTTCCCATCTTCTCCTCCTCCAGTGCATGTCATCAGCAAACCAATATTAAAAACTAAAAAACAAGAAAAAAGCAGACAACTTTTAGAGGAATCTTTTTCATGCATTTGGTTTTGCAGAGAAGTCACATGCTTTGCATTTGCTGGTAATCACAACTTAAAGTTTGGGGAGGCCAAAAGAAAATTTTAATTTGTTGTGTAAGTTGTGGTTATGAATTAGATTAATATCCCCATGATGCTTGCTGGTATAAATAAAAAGGAGCTAGTAATTTCGACTAGCAGAGTCTAGCTTCACGATAAAGAGTAGAGTTTTATGATGAACAACAATTATCTTATTATTGTGTAATACAGATATACTAATCATAAACCGCTAAACCATGGAAAGAAGATGTAAGAGTAAAAGAAAAGGGTTTCCATGACATTTCATGTACAATTTTGTGTTTCCCCTATATATATCATTCTAATGTGTTGGTGAATCATCATCTTGGTTCTTGATGTGATGAATGCTGGTAGGATTGTGAGAGAAAGAGTAAATACAGAAGACGACTGAGAGCAATGCATCCTGGTTCCAGCCAGTTCTCTGTTTTGCTTATATCATCTTCTCAAATTTGTCCAGCTTTTTCACCCTCTGCATCGACCTTAGAAGCAAAGCTAAGAATACTCCTGCAGTAGATAAAGAAAACCGGTATCACGGTCAATACATTTCATACAGACAGAGGGTAATTTGAAGCAAAGTGTATCTACTGATCAAAGCAGTAGGGAAAGGAAGGAAATAAGTTATGTACTGATCAAAGCAGCCAACCAAAGGAGTTTGTTTAACTTGTTATATATTACCTGCGCCTACAAATGACCCATTGGCAACAAGTTGGCTTCCCTGACTCCCGAACGTCACCCCAAGGTTCACAAGGGTGCCTCCTAACACTGTGTACATTGTTGCCATCTGCAATATGGTTGCTTTCCTCGCCGCTCTTTCAGACTGCCAAATACCCACCACCAAAACAAAGATTTGATACTTAACAATCATTCCTGTCACAGAATCAGCTAGATTCCCAGAACCCGCTTCTGGATACTCCTCAATGAAACTTCTTCATCATTTTATTTGAAATAACGAAAATATGACTAAACGTTCGACTCCACAACCATCTCATTCATCCAAATTCAAGATTACCTCTAGAACCCGGACGCGAAGTTTCAAGTCTCCCGATTCGAGTTGCTGCACGAACTCTTCTATCCTCTGGACTCTGTACGGCATGGACATTGTAGAACTTCTTGCCTGAAGAGATCACCACAACACAAATTGACATGTAAACTTCTGTTAGTTAGCTCCAAGGTGAAAGGTGGTAGAAGGATGAGCAGAGTAATCCGAAAGTTTTAGAGCAAGGATTGGAAAAAGGGTAGTACGTACATCATTCGCTTGTTTCCTTATCTGTTCTACTAGTTGTGTGCCTGGCCGTTGCTTTTGTCTGATATCCAAAAGCTCTTGAGCATAAGGCGCAGCAATCTTCACAAACGAGAAATCTGGGTCGAGAATGTATCCTATGCCTACATGGAAACCAACAGTGCGTGGATTCTTTTGTCAGATTTTCAATCTATTACTTCTTATTCTTAAGGGAGGTTGGATGTTTGTGAATGGCCGGCAACCTTCAAGTGTTGAGAATGCCCTTATGACGAATGTGAATGTTGATGGGAACCGAAATGGTTGATCTTGAGCTATTGAAAACAAATCCTACAATAACAGAAGCCAAAAACAAGATTCAGAACCTACAAAATTTCAAGCTTTAGGTGCGAATGCATGTATATACATATATATACCTCTCCAATGGCTGATAAAGTCTGCTGCTGATCAGGTGTCTGGCCCAACAAATTGTCCAAGAAAAACTGAACAGATCTCCTAACCTGTCCATTTGACAAAGGAGAGTTCCCTATGATAAGCAATGAATGGCTTCTTTCAGAAGACTTTTATTTCTCTTTCAGAAAGTCGACATGAAAACCTACCGAAGACAGGTCTCCAGTGGGCTGAAGCGCTCCAAGATCGATCAGACACTGCATAACCTGAAAATTTTCAACTGATTGTGAGGAGCAAATCCATGCAATAACTAGATGATTCGGAGTTCATAAAACATTGAGGCAACGAAGCAGACCTTTCTGGCATCTTTCTCATAAACAGCATAGAAAAGTCCGAGCAACCTTTCCCGGGTAAAAGGCTTGATCTCACCCATCATGCCAAAGTCATAATAGATGAGAGCTTGATCGGTGTCGACTGCAAGATTCCCAGGATGAGGATCCGCATGGAAAAAACCGGTTCTCAGAATCTTGAGCAACAAGAAACCACCAGAGCACAGTTAACAGACATTCCAGAAAACATAAGAACAATCAGCTGGGAATTACTTAAGCAGCACTTCACACACCTGAATCAAGTATGCTTCAATGGCTCGTGAGGAGATCTGGGAACGGCTGAATCCCCTTGAATCTAGCTGATCCAACTCGTTTATCTTGACACCTGTGGCCAAAAGTAGACACGAATTAAGCATAATAGAGCTTAGAGTTCAACATGAACTGCCTAATCGAATTAATTTTCGTATGCACCTGGCACATATTCCAAGGTCAAAACCTTCATGGCTGTGTAATCCCAGAATACCATCTACAATGAGCCAGACAAGCATACCAAGTATGAATCAACCAAACAAAGAACACTACCATCGTAATTTCATCAAGAGTGAGCTCAAAAGAGAAAAACATAAACTGGAAAAACTGTTGGTAAGAAAACATACAGGTACTCGGACCCACTTCACATTCCTAAAATCTCGGCGGAATCTATCAGCATTTTTTCCTTCATTAATGTAATCAATCTCCTGGTACAAAATCCTGAAAACCATATCATGTACTGAATTAGTAGACAGCATGAGGAACGTTGCAGTTGGGCAAAACACAATGTGATAATGCCCAATTAAGTCAAAGTTAACTCACTTGGCACATTCCTCATAGATGCCAACCCAATCTTTGGTTGGACCACCAAAAGACTCACTTCTCTGCAAGTATTCTGCAACTATCTTCATATTATCTGGAGAAAGCGCACAATATATCAATAAATAGGCCATCTTCTTGCTTCCATTTTTGAGGATTAATCAGCAAACACTTGAATCTAGGATATGTAGACAAGCTGAAGGTGAACAGAGGAACATGGTACTAACTTAGGTCAATGTCAAACAGCCTCTTGAGCCCAGGCCTTTGAACTTTGATGACGACTTTCTCTCCGTTATGCAGGATGGCTCTATGCACCTAAAAGACAGCATGGATATACAGTCAGCATCCAAATTCACCAGAGGTACAATCATATCACGAGATCCCACAATAATAGCTACGAATGTCGCAAGCAGGCTTTCTGCAATTGCTGCCCAAATGAAGGCAATGAACATAAAACAAACACCTGACCAAGACTAGCGGCAGCAATAGGCCTGTCCTCAAACTCTTTGAACAGCACGTCTATAGGGGCTCCGAGTTCTCGTTCGACAAAGTTTCTCGCTTTCTTTGGTGGGAATGCAGGCACTCGATCCTGGTATCAGGATGTAAACATGAATACTCGAAACATCATTTTAAAATTCAAGCACTCCAGTTCAGAATGGTCAAGAATAAGGCACCTGCAACTTGGCGAGCTCATCGACAAACTCCCTGGGGAAAAGGTCTGATCTCGTTGAGGATAGCTGTCCAAGCTTTATAAACGTGGGACCTAATTGCAATACTTTCTCCCTTAGCCACGCGGCAGTGTTCTTCCTCCTTAATTTCTGCTGATCTTCACTGAAACTTCCGAAATAAGCCCACTTAGCATTGTCAAACATGATACGCAGTCGAAATGCGATGAAGAATGACCAAACATCGATGTTCCTCTGCGCATTGTTGTAGTTCTCATTCGCCCAGCTGAATCCTTCGTCTGTAGGGAGATCCTTTAGATTGAGAGGCGGAAGCTTCTCGTTCTCCCTCTTTGCGTATCTTGGTACTATTGAAGAAGCACTAGGGGTTTTCTTAACTATGCTCGAGGTACTTCCATTGATGACCTGTTTTTTACCATTCACTACCACATCTACTTTTGCACTTCCATTTGGTGCCGCCCTTCTTTTAACCACATCATTCACCGGCACCATTTTCACAGGAGGTCGCCGTCCATTAGGGCCTAGCTTCGAGGCCGGGGATGATTCAGTCTGTGTCATTCGCACTTGAAGCAACCTCGAATTTCGGGACTGATAATCACGGCTGTCAACTAACGCTGGAAATGAGGTGGCAACTGAACTGGAGAAGCTGAAGTTCTCCAAGATCCTGCTGCCTTGATTCATCGAATCCCCATCGCGGCAATAGCAACTGTGTGAAGCTAGTATTGCCGCCATCGAATCAAATAATCAAACACCTCCACAAGCTGTAAGTAAGCCAATAACATAATTACATGGAAGCATAGCCACTCCTAAGTCCTAACACAATACAAAGATAAATTACTGAAGGCGAAATTCTGCAATCTCATTCGAATTAGAGCTATTGATCGCCGAATAAAAAGAGACATAAGGAACAAACCGGAGAAGTACAACAGCTAAGACAAAAAAGATTGTAACTTTCTCTCACTTTCCTGTAGAAAACAAACACATACCCAGGATACCAAACGGCCCGATTTAGATGCAGATGCAGAAAAGGCGTCAAGATTATGCAGATTAAACTGATGGGCGACCCCCGAAATAAACAAACTGGAAACCTGCTTCTGTTGAAAGGTAACTGAAAGAAAGAACGGAGCGGAGATACAACAGTCAACAGTACAAGAGGACCCCTTAGAAAACTGAAACTTACTAAATAATGGAAGAAGGTCTCTGTACTCTCTTATTCGCGTGTGTTGGTTACCAATCTCGTTGGAGTCCCCACTGTGACAGGAAATTCTGTGGGCAGACCAGATTCATACATTGCTGTCTGAAGAAGGATCACCGAATTTCTTCTCTCTTTTTTTTTTGTCACTAGGAGGATTTTTTTAACGGTATGACGTGTCTTGTTTCTAGACAGACAAGTCGCAATATTGTTTGCGGTTGCGGGTAACTTGGTTGGTCCGGGTTCGGTGGTCGCCGGGTGTTGGGTAATATTTGGGTTTGTTAGACTGACCCTAACCCTAGAGGTAAAAAGCTCTCTTTTTTTTGCTCCAACCCACATTATTTTGGGAGCTAAAAATGGGTATTGGTGAATTGAGAGCCAAATTTAACTCTCAAAAGAGTGGAAAAGCCAAATTTGGCTAGAGAAAATGGTGGACCCGAGGCGGGTCCTCCTTTATTTTTTATTTTTTATTTGTTTCTGTGGAATTTTCTCATTGGTTGATTGTGTTGTTTTCCTTTTTTTCTTTTTTCTTTTTTGTGTGGTATTTTGTCATTGGTTGATTGTGTATGTTGTTTGTTTAATTGTTTGAAAGAAGATATGAATTGTTGTATGTTTAATTGGTATTTTCTAATTGGTCCCGAAGTTAACGGTAACAAAATAATGACTAATTTTCTGAAACATTTTTTGTCTCGGAATTTAAAAAAATTTACATCGATTTTTTTTTTCAAAAGTAATAACCAACTATAGAATAATTAAAGTGAAATATGAAAATTAGAGGTCAAATAAGTATGATTTATTGTAATAAATTGAAAAAAGGGACATGGGAAGCGAAATTTAGCTTTGTGTAGGGTTGGAGTGAAAATGGAATTTGGGGAGCTAAAAAGTCATATTTGGCTATTTGGGGAGCCAAATTTAACTTTACGGGTTAAAGTTAGTCTTATGTACTTGGTAGATGGTGCGGCCGCGCGGGAGGACGGAAGGAACCTAAACTTGTTTTCATGTTTGACTTTGACCCAGCCACCGCTACACTTGTCAGCTGAGCTGGAACTCAAATGCTTACTTGTACTTTCTTCTTGTTCTTTCCTTTTGCCCTGCCGAAAGTGTCAACAATTAATAAGTGTAATATGTCATGATTCATGATTTTTCATTCAAGCCACAAGTCTTGGATTCAACCTAAGATAACTTATTAGAGACTTTTTTTTTTTTGGATGAATGAGCTATTTAGAGAGTTACAACCAACTTGTGAAACTCAATTGAATGTAAATTGAGAAGTTTTATTTAATAGTGATAAAAAATTACAAGTATACCGATCTTCGCCGCCTGTTATCTTAGCTTTCGAGTAATCATGACGGACTCTGCAACCCTGAATTCAACTAACAAACCTAACTAACTTCAGCACTAACCATCTGACTTACTTGCAAATCGTAAACCACGTTTAAACCCTAACAGACATAAAACTGACCAAACTATAATTAGCCAAAACGACATAGTTTAATTTAAGACCGAACATTTGAATTTTCCACTCCTGAAGCAAAATAGCATTTCTTTCAAGTGACCCGAGTTCGATTCTTCCTCTAACATCCTTCCTTAAACGGAAGATGTTTCCTTCTTCAATTCATTGCAATTTCATCAACATCACGCACACCCAGCCTCTTTTGCATAAGTTGAAATGATTTTAGCTTCATTGTCTTGGTCATTACATCAACAACTTGCTCACTACTTCCCACATGCTCCAACTCCACAACACCCTAAAAGTACAACAAATTACATCGAATGACAAGATTATTTGGAGTATGGTATACTCTAAGAGTACACCATGCAATTATAGGCGTGATAGTTTAGGGTGGTGGTTCGTTTAACCAAATCAAAAATCATTAGAAATCGAAACCCGAATTCGCTAGTTGCCCTAAAGTCGTTAAGAGTTTAAGGGTTTTTGGTTAACATTGATAGGCCTTTAAAGTTTTCGGCCAGAATACATAGAGAATGAAATTTTGAGTGCGTTAAGTCTTATCAATTTTTTATCGGCTTATTAAAAATTTTTGGTTTGACAAAATTATTTGAAGGATGATCAGTTTTCACCCATTAAAGAAGACTGCTAAGACTGTAAAATCATTTTGGTTAAGACCAAAAACTGCACCCGACTCGCCACTTCTAGTGATAGTTGACTTTAAAATTTGAGCTTAAAAATGTGGATTTTATATCCCACATTATTTTTATGCTACCTCTTGCCTACATATTCATCAACTTTTGTTGAAAAATAAGCCAACTTGAACAAATTTGTACAAAGAAATCAATTACAAAAGGCTTTCAAGCTTGTTCGCGAGCCTATCGAGAAGATTATGTCATGACTCGAGCCCAACTCATTTACAAATGAGCTTGTTCGAGAGCCGGCTCAGTTGAAGAGGAGTCAAGTTGTGAACGAATTTTTCTCTAATTGAACACCGAATCGTTCATGAGCGGCTTGGTTCATTAACAGCGCTAATTGAATAGGAAGCACACAACTTGGAGGAATATTCTATGATCCCATAAAAGAAAATATATATAACTGAAAAGGGAATGTTGATTTTTGTGTGTGCGAAGAACCATTCCCCACAGTCGCCACATTGGTGTCGCTGAAGGCAAGGTAAACTCAGGGGCTATTGGACCTACACAGCCGTTCAAGGACACCCAGGATGGTCGGTGGGGAGATGGTCCTAGCATCTCAGGCAAGCTCCCTTCAAGCGGAGAAAGTTAATCTGCTAACTTGAAGATTCGTAAGCAGATACTAACTGATATTCAAAACACATGAACTAGTATCCAAGCACTAAAATATCTAGAGAGCACATACTAGTATTCAAAGTTTGCTAACTTATATACACCATGAATCAACTATTATCCCAAATTCACAAACTAATATCTAGATAACACAGAATAGTATCCATACAACACATAATTAGTATCCAGATAACACATAAGATTATCCATATTGAATACTAGTTGGTTGATTGTGGATATTAGTTGGTATCTGCTATCTGGATACTAGTTTGTGATGTTTTGAATACTAGTCTGTGCTATCTAGATACTCAGCAGACTTGATTATTAGTTCATACATTTTGGATATTAGTTAGTATATACTAATGAATCTTCAAGTTAACAGAATAACTAGACTGTTTGACAATGGCTTCAATTATAATCGTTAGTCGCTACTTAACATCTAACCCCTCATGGTTAATAACTTGGATGAATATTCTATAATGCCATAAAAGAAAATCTATACAACTGAAAATGGAATGTTTTTTTTTTTTTTGTCCCAAGAACCCTTCCCCCACAAACGCCACATTGGCGTCACTGAAGGCAAAGTAAACTCCGGGCTGCTGGGCCTACACAGCCGTTCAAAGACGCCCAAGGTGATCGGTGGGGAGACGGTCCTCGCATCTCAAGCAGGGCAAGGCCTTCAATTATAATCGTTACTCGCTACTTATCAACATCTAACTCCCCCATGATTCAGAACTTGGATAAATATTCTATAATTTCATAAAAGACAATATATATAACTGAAAAGGGAATGTAAATTTTTTTGGTGCGAAGAACCCTTCCCCACAGTCGTCACATCGGTGTTGTTGAAGGCAAGGTAAACTCTAGGCTGGTGGGCCTACACTGAAACACCCTAGTTCGGTAGGACACTACTTTTATCAAAATACCATTGATAAATCGTGAAATAAAATAAAAACTAAAAATACTTAAAAAAATATTGGAAAGATTTCATAATAACTTTAAAAAATATCGCAAAGACCATAACCAATCACACTAAGTACATTTGTTGTATCTTTTTAAATTAAAAACATATAATAGCAGGGAGGGAAAAACCTTTTCCTCATTTCAAATTCCCTGCTCGATGAGCGTTTGTAGGAAGGGTAGAATAGGGAGTGTCAATTTTTTTCTCTTTCCTTTGTGGAACGGGCCAACTTACTGTACACATGCGAATTTAAACGGGCCCAGGAGTGTCAATTTTTTTCTTTAAACCTTTTTATTTCTCTGTGGTGATAAAATATATATGAAAAGGAGTTGAATGCATGGTATCTAATGAGCTAATCGCTAACCATAAAATAAAAGAGTTGAATGGGCCTGACCTACATGGGATTTGGCCATCAAGTGAAACAAATGAACATCATTGGTTTGCTATTCTAAAACAAGCTATTTTCTCTGGCATAATATATATTGTGCTATTATTCTATATCTTAGTGGCTAAAATATAATGTATTTTAGAGTTATTCCATGGTTCAACCTCGACCAACCCAATTAGTTCAATTTTTATCATTTCAAATATATATTTTATAATTATTTGATATCATAATGATCAAATTATAGTGTATTTTATAGGGAATCGTTTGGTATTTGTTAGTAAAAAACTAAACATAAAAGATCTATTTAGTTATTTTAAACATTAAAACGATCCTAACTATTTTTAGTTCTTTTTGAATTTCTATGGTTTTATTCCCGAATAAGTGATGTGAAAATGGCGAATTGTAGTCTTCTCTTTTCTTTCACTATTTTTTATTTTCAAATAGAAAGTTTAAAAGTAAAGAATAATTAGAATTTGGCATGGGTCGGTCAAACAGGCTGAATTTCAAGTTTTGGCCCGTTTGTTTTATGCATTGCAAATTTATTAGCATGTTGATGGAAATGGCTTGGAAAAAGACATATAAGTTGTACCTTTGCAGAAATGTCCTCAAATGTTTGAATGCTTTGTGAATCACTTTTCGTGACTTTTGTGATGGTGTATGTGCTTGACGATTGCGATGTTGTAACTGCTTAATTTGAGAGTAAATCTTTTGATTTTCCCTATGAGTTGTGATACCAGTTCTGGTGGTTGCAACATGTTGTCGTTGTTGGCCTGTAAAAGTTGTTCCGCCGTGATGCTAAATACCTTTCTTTCTTTTTTAACAAATTGTGTAGTAGTGCTATGAAACAGACCACCCATGAACGCGACGCTTATTATGGTCTGTTCTTACTTCCGGTGGTGAGAAATTGTGAATTGAGAATCATATTCGCCTACCGCACTGTGTCTGGCTGGTGGTTGCTTACTGTGCTCTCTAGAGTTATGAAACAGACTACCCATGAACGTTACCCTTAAGAGTCCATAACTTTGCGAAAAACCAAATTTAGGCAATCAAAGGTGGTGGATGTGTGAAGATTTTTTATGGCTTAATTGTTTGTGAATTGGATATCTGATCTTTGTATGATTAGAGGTGATGTTTACTTAATAGAATAATCTATTTTAATTCATGTTTATTTTTAACATGAACTTTAGTAACTCAAAACCTTCGAGACACATATCACCTACTGCATTGTATCATTTTTCCTGGGTGCTTGTTGTGTTGTCAAACTTCTTTGCTGATGCTGCTTTTATACTAACAGGGGAGTTAAGAACCCATGAATGTTTCCGTTTGACACAAACAGGAGGACTTGCTTCTAAATCGTGCACTAAAGATGATTGGAGGAAACATTTTTGTTGCAGTTGATATACTGCAGACCAGAACAAAAGCAATGTATAACATCAAAACCAACCATATGAACTATTAGCATTGTTGCTTTACTATTTTTTCGTGGTTGAGTCTCCTTCAAAAAATTTAGTTTGATTTTAGAAAATTTTGCTTCTGCAGTCCTGTCTTGCCACCAACGCGTTCAGTAGATGGAGATGGCAGAGGCGAAGCCTATTTTTGTGTTGTTGTTGCTGGTTTAGGGATCGGTTTGTGAAGAAGAGGGAGAAGAGAGGGGGAAAGGGAAATGCAGGAGAGGGGGGGTAACTCTTTTCTCCGACAAAAATGGAGTGAAGAAAGGAATTATAATCAATAAGCATATGGTTATCTTACATAACGGTCTCTATTCTGTTTGAATTGAGCTTGGGAGGCAGTGATTAGGACGAGCTGCAACCAATTCATAGTGAAAAGAGAGCTATGAACTGTGATCATGTCTTATTTCAAGTTAGAAGGTAGTTTCAGTATAAGGATTATTTAATTTGACAAGTTGCTTCGTCCATGATTCTTGGTAGTTTCAGTGTCATTCTAGCCATTGTTTAGTCTGTAATTTTTGAGAATTGATGTGCGAGTAATGACTTTCGCTTAGCTTCAACTATTATGTGTGTATTTATTGGCATGTGATAGAAATCTCTTTTCCTTTTCTTTGAATTCAGTTTCATACTCTAATTGTATCATTTGTACATAGGCAAATCATGCTCGAGATGACAACTCGCTAATATGGCTGGTGCAAGGAACGAAGCCATCATTAGAATTCAGACCGACAACGGGGAGGGATGCCCAGGACTAATTCAATGATGATTGATGATGGTATAATAAAGACTGCAGTCTGCATCAGCACCAATTTCTAGGCCTAAGTAAAGTTATTCAACCCAGAACTCTGCTTAGCGCTAAAAATTTCCCTCACCCAACCTTGATCCTGTTTGACCCACTTCTGAAGAGTCAAGATATATGACTAATCCTCTCCGTTCGTATTTTCTTATTGACTCTTTCCGACCCTTTAGGTTAGGACGGGTCGGGAGGAATCGGATTAGTGGGTCGGTCCTAATCAAGTGGAATCCCAATCCCTTCACTCTCACTTGCTTTCTCTCCCATTCCACAAGTGGGTAGCATACAGTAATCCGGCCAACGGGCCGGGTAATAAGCTAGTATATATAACTGAAAAGGGAATGTAAATTTTTTAGGTGCGAAGAACCCTTCCCCACAGTCGTCACATCGGTGTTGTTGAAGGCAAGGTAAACTCTAGGCTGGTGGGCCTACACTGAAACACCCTAGTCCGGTCGGACACTACTTTTATCAAAATACCATTGATAAATCGTGAAATAAAATAAAAACTAAAAATACTTAAAAAAATATCAGAAAGATTTCATAATAACTTTAAAAAATACTGAAAACAACTGTCATTACTTAAACTCGAATCCCTGACACTTGGGCAAACTCAAACATTAAAAATCTCAACCTGATCTCCAGTCTATACTCATAATCGTAAAGTATAATAACTAATTAATCTCAAATGCTGCTTCTGGTGGATAACCTTGACTAGACATCCTCTGTGATGCTCGTACCGTCCTCCTCCAGTTGGTTTCCCTCGAACCGTCTCTCTAACTACTCCTCCAGCTCTTCCTCTTCAAACTGGTGAGTGAGTTGGGGTCAGTCTACGCCCTTACGTCTAAAACTTTCTTATACTTGAGTACTTTACTTGAAACAGTTAACTTAAACTGGTGGGAATTGTTTGTACTTCCACTCTTAAAAATCTAACTCTTAAACCTCGACTTAAATATTTGACCGACATTGGGATCCCTCACTAGCTAGTCCGGTTGCCAACTCATACGTATGAGAGCCCATCCAGGCTTTCCTTAAAATTAAACTTATCGTGAAAGGCTCTTCTTCTACGATTCTCAAGAGCATAACTGCCGCTCATCTTAAAAGTCTCAAGAGCATAACTGCGGCTCTATCTCAAAATCTCAAATGGCAACGGACTGACGCTAGTGATTAAAAACTCTGAAAATGGTTTCACCTTCTTGACAGTGAAGTACTTCTTGAAAAGGACTTGTTCTTAAACTTTAAGAATAACTCATAAATGTAAAGGTTCAGAGTAAATAATACACTAAGACACATTCACTTGAAATCACAACTCAAACAAGGTATATATAATCCACCATAACAGTAAACAACCATAGCAAACTTCACAAAAATTACTCAACACTTGTAATTAAGATAAATACTTGAAAATACGTAAGACGTAGAATTTACCCCTTTGCACTCAACCTTATCGTATTCAATCAGCTACTGTCGATTTCCCTCCACTTGTTCGTTACAGGCTTGATCAGCCATATCCCCACCATCCATGAGCTACACGTCCCAAGATTCATGTCCCATGAATCAATTTCCAATGCCAGACACACTTTAATAATGAGTCGTTTGGATGAGGAATTGTAATGGATCAATTTGACACAATTGTCTCGTTTTGAGACAATTGTACCAAATTGACTCGTTTGCCCGCAAAAAAATTGGGATAAATCAATTTGTCTGAGGTATTTTGAATTGATCCGTTTTTAGTCAATTTCAATTGTTCAGGGTGGAGGCGGGTAATTCGAATTGACTCGTTTATAAAACAAGACAATTGATCAAATTGTCTCATTTCTAGATTGATCCATCCAAACGACCTAAGAGTGAGAGAGGGATAATTTGTTACTTCTAATCCAATTCATTGCCACTAGTGGACAAATGATCCAAACCACCACCACGCCTTGGCAACCTTGCTCCGCTAGCTAGGATGCATAATTTTGATCGCTGCATCAGCAAACTAAGCAATGCAAATAGAGCAGGTTGCTCCGTCCAATTGAAAGCACCAATAGAGCTACCTGCTTCGTCCATTGTTGGGCGCTTCTCTCCCTCTCTCTCACGGATTCTCGGACGATTGCTGGGTATCCCTCCAGGTCCAGAAGCCTCTTCATTTTTGTGTCGCCGCTCGCCCATGCCCATGCCCAAGCTGTTAGATACATAAGCATAGCGGCTTCCCCCATTCAGCCGCTTAATTTAGTTTGCTTCTTCATTACTTTTGACATCTCGACAATTAAGCCACAACATCCATTCGGTGGCGGTGGTGACCCTGACAAACATGGCAATTACAAATCCCGGCGTGGCTATGAGAGGGATTCCTAGAGAAGTAGAGATAGAGATGGGGCAGGGCGTTTGATGCTAGCTTAGGTTTAGGTTTAATTAAAATGAGGAAGCCGAGTGGGGTGTTTTCAGTCGGAAAAATGGGGGATTAATTCGGCCCTCTAGTATATATATATTAAATAAAGATAATTTTATAGTTATTATTCTTATTATTTTTTGTAATCCGCAATTGCAACCCTTTGCACGTAACCATTCACGTATTATGGTCAAACTAGAACCCAAAAGTTGGGATGTTACATACACATTCGTTCAAAGACGTCTAGGGTGGTCGGTGAGGAGATGGTCCTAGCATATCAGGCATGCCCTGTGCAAGCAGAGCAAGGCCTCCAACAGCGGGAGTGCTACTCCAAGGCAGCGACGGAGGTAGAATTTGAAACTACCAATGTCTTTTTTTCATAATATAAATATAAAAATATATAATTATAGATATTTGATAAATATAATTAAAACTAATAATATCCAAATAATTCATTCATAGATAAAGAAATAACTGACTAATACAAATGTTGTGACTAGGGGGCTTCCCTTAGTCATACGATTAAGCCAATCTCAACATTGAACCTCAGTAAAATCTAATGATTCAAATTTATCTAGTTTAATGAAAGGTAAGATGATAATTATATTATTTATTTATTTATTAATTAAAACAAAATGAAAAAAATATCCATGTCCCTCGGCTCTCCCGCCGCCGGTCCGTTTCTGGGAATTCTCCCGCCGGCAGTGGTGGGATTTTTTTGTGTCCCAAGTGATATTTGTGGCCTGCAGAGAGAGAGCCGACGGTGGGATTTTTGTGTGTCCCAATCCAAGTGATATTTGTGGGAGAGAGCCTTCTTTCGCAGGGAATGGGAAGTTAGCCAAACAGAAACGAGTTTTATCTTGACCATTGACTTTTGACTCTATCAAAACCCAACTGAAGGTGTGCACAGAACAAGAGAAGAAGGTCGGGACGTCAGACGTGGGAGGCAGAGTTTAAAATAAACAGAGAATCGTGGAAACAAATTTTTTAGTATATATATAAATGCCGGCAGTTGTTCGTTGGCTCCTATTTATTTCAAAAACGCGAATGCCTTCTCCGATTCGTGTACCAATAGCAATGCTCGCCACGTTCCGCGCGCAGACATCCTTGAAGCCCCACGGCGGCCTGTTCAGACTTCTCCTCTCGACAAATCCGCCGCCCAACAGGCATTCTGTTATGCTTTCTCCGTCGTGGGTTCCATCCATTCCGTCCGGTAAGCTCTCTTCCTTCCTTGGGTTCTTCCTCCCACCATTTTTGGCCATCTGGGTACTGTTCCATAGGTATCGTCGGAAGCTTAATTTCTTACGATTTGATCAAGCCCGGAAGGGTTTTGTACCAATTCATCTGAAAGTTTGAGAATAGGGTAGTTGGCTATTGTCCATTTCCGGTTTGAATGGGTTAAATTAGGGGTTAGTGGAAAGTTCTTCGTCCTTTTACCATGTATAGCCTCTGCAACTACAGTCCAGCGGCCGGCCCCTTTCGAAATTATGACGGAAAACTACTATTTCTTTTGTTGTTGACTTGGTGCATGACAATTGTTGATTTCTTTATACGAATTTCCCTCTCCAGATCCGATTTAGAGAATCCAGCTGGTCTCTCGGTTGTTCTTGAATTGGAAAAAGGAAGTTTCAAGGGGAAGCCTTTTTGATGAATGTTTGCGGGAAACTGAAGAAATAGGGTCTTTTGTTTTTAAGGTAGAACCACCACTACCACGACCAGCAGTGGCAAAGAGAGAGTTTATTCCTCAGCAAGAGTACAGAACATGTCTTCTTCTTCTTCCGTAAAAAGTGTTGTGGTTCCAACAATGGCTAATGAGGATCGCCACGTCGATGGAGGAGTGAAGGAAGAGATCAAATTGTTAAATGCAACAGAGGATTGGTTTGGGGGATTGACTGTGGTAGCGAGTGAGCATACGCAAGTTGCGGATTTCATGCCTCGACTGAGACATTCCATCTCCAAATGGAAGGAACAGGTAAAAGTGAAAACGGTTTAGGCTGCAATTCGATTTTTTTTTCAGGTTTAGAGGCTTCAAGCTCTACAGATTTTGATGGATGTTTTGGGTTTCTTTATAGGGAAGGAGAGGACTTTGGATAAAGTTGCCAATTAACCAGTCTCACCTAGTGGATCCAGTAGTTAAGGTGCTCAAAATCATGAACGGGTTTAAGGTTCATTCTAGGATGGAATTTTGTTCTTAGGTTTCTGATGAACTGGTGTCTGGGATTCCGTTGGTTACAGGAAGGGTTTAGGTTTCACCATGCTGAATCTGATTATGTGATGCTTGTGCGTTGGCTGCCTGAAGACGAACCTGATACTCTTCCAGTCAACGCCTCTCATCGAGTTGGTATTGGGGCACTTGTGCTTAACGAAAACAAAGAGGTAAATATCTTTGTTCTTTATTCAACAGTATTCACCTTCCTAAGATTTAGCTCTATGGAGGGGTTGAAATGTTCAAAGCCCATGGTCCGAAATGGCTTACAAACCCAAGTTTTAATCTCTTGTACATGATCAGTTTGCCAATGGTCTGCTATGCCTGTGATGTTTGGCTTGCCAGGTATTGGTAGTCATGGAGAAGAATGGAGGTTTCAAAGGCACAGGGTTCTGGAAGATGCCAACTGGTGTAGTTGATGAGGTAAGAGGCCTGGGGGGAAATGGTTTGTTTTCAAACCTCTCTTTGGCCTGCGGCAAAGTTCCATAATTTGGTCAAATGATGGCTGAAATATGTGTGTTAAAATCTACAGGGTGAAGACATCTATGCAGCTGCAGTAAGAGAAGTGAAAGAAGAAACGGGAGTAAGTAGATTGGAAAGGTGTTCTGCGCTTCTTTCCAATCACATGAAACTTGCTCGTGCTGATATATCTTCTCTGCGTTTGTCGATCTTTTGTCAATCAGATTGATGCCGAATTTGTCGAAATTTTAGCATTCAGGCAAAGTCACAAGTCGTTCTTCAGCAAATCAGACATGTTTTTTGTCTGTATGATGCGTCCACTTTCTTCAAACATCACTGCTCAGGAATCAGAGATTGCTGCATCTAAGGTGAGTGGTTCTTCCAACTTTGTCTAATATGCTTTGTTAACGGTTAGAAACAAAGTTTCTAACGGGTTTGGGATTAGGGAATTAGCTAGATCAATTAGGAATTGATCTGGCTAGGGATTGGGAATTGAAGAATTGAGACAGAGAGGGGAAAGGGGAGCAGCTGCTGCTGCCGAATTTGGGAGGGGAAGAGGGGAAGAGAAATGCAGGAAGAGGGAGAAGAGAGAGTAGGTTTAGTTTTTTGATATTTTATTCCTTAATGCAAAAATAACTCCCTACTGCAGATTATATAATCCGCATAATTCCTATTTCCTACCCAAACAATAAAACATAACAATCGACTCTCTGTTTATTGCTCGAATACCCCAAATAATCTCCCAATTAACAAAACCGACAAATAAAGCGAATTAACCAAAAGTTGCAAATTATTTGTTTCTATCATCCCTGCCTCCTTGGGAAGCAACCTTGTCCTCAAGGTTGAAGCTTCTCTTGCCCCGCTCCAGAGTCCTCTGCGGCTTCGTCCTCGGCCTCATCTTCCCAGCGCCCCACCAAGAACATTAGATCAGGCTTCCCGCATTTGTGACCAAAGGTGAACCTCTCGTCGCAGTTAAAACATTTTCCTTCTCGCCTCTTCTGCTCGATCTCGACAGGGGATAACCTAGTAAATCCCTTGGGCAGTGCCCTCGGTCCCGCTCGAATGGCCGCGGTGGGTGGACCAGTCGTCGCACCCCCTCCCGTGCTCGGACCCGGCGTCGGGACCCCCGGCCCGCTACTCGGCCCGCTACCACTTCCTCCTCCGCTCGGCTTCTGATATCGGCCTATCACTCCCCGCCAGCTAGGCAGTTCCTCCTCCTTATTTCATGCAAGACGGAAAACAGCTCATAGTGAATCTGGCTCAAATACCCGGACAGCCGCTGCAATCTCCGGACGGAGTCCCGCCATGCATAGGCCCACCAATGTCTCTTCTGGAACGCCCTTGCATTGGTTACCCAGTTTGAAGAACTCGGCCCTATACTCCGCCACCGTCCCTGTCTGGCGCAGCTTGGCTAGCTGCTCTGGAGCCCAACCTTCAGATTTTCCGAACTGATACGTCAACTCCTCCTTAAACATAGGCCAAGTGATTAGCGTATGAGCTTCTGCATAGGTCCGCTCCATCCACTCCCACCACTGCAGTGCATCTCCCTCCAGGTAGAAGGAAGCTAGCTGAGTCTTCCGTTCTTCCCTAGTGGGGTGGTTCTTGAACCATCGTTCAGCTGAGTACAGCCACAGTCCTGCATCCTCACGACCATTGTATTTCAGAAACTCAATGGTGGGAGGCCGAGCTCGAAACACCATATCATCCTCTTCCTCCCCACCCCGGAAATACCCGGCATTTCTTCCGCCGCTTGGGCCCCCACTGTGGTAGTGCTGTGTGAACCGTGGGTCCCCGTCGCACCCCCAGTCGTCCCCTTCATCCTCCTGGTACCCCGCTCTCCCGCTTAACTCACTCCTCGGCCTTCGATCACCCGTCCACGTCCTCCTGGATTCCTTCCCGGCGCCCCGTTGAATTGCAGAAGAAGGAAGGGGCCCACAGTACTCGTCGAACTGGCCTTGCGGACCTGGGTAACCCTTGCTGCCCGCCTGGTACGGATATCCCGTCGGTTGGACCGGTTCGACCATGATCCGACCGGGTTCGGCACGACCAGTTTTGGTTCGATCGATTTCGGTTCGACCGGGTTCGGTCCGACCAGTCTCGGCTCGACCGCCGGGGACCCGGCTCGTCCCTCTTGGCCCGCATCACCCCGGCCCGGTTGGGTTCGGCCCGCTGCTCCCGGCCGCCCCGACTCCCACCCGCGGCCCGTCTCCCTCCAGCTTCCTCTCGGCCCGCCTTCCCACCGGGCTCGGCCCACTAGGCTGCCCTCCTCCCTTCTGCCATCCGCGCCTAGCCCACACTGCTCGTTGGGCCATGGCCCGCGATCCATTATCTGCTCCGGATCCACCAGCTCCTCCCAGTTCAGGCCCGCCTGCGGGTCTGGATCCACATACTCGGCCATCTTGGCCTTGCCACGTGCGCGAGCCACCTCCTGGGCCGATGGGGTAGGCAAAAGCCCATCCTTGCTCGTCGGGGTTGGTCGCCGCCGCCCCCCTTCCGTCGAGACCCGCTCGGCTCCCTGGCCGCCGACCACCGTCACCGAGGCGGACTCCCCCTTCGCCGCGCCTCTCTCCTCCGGCGGCTTCCCGCCGTCGCCAGCTCCTGTCCTGCCTCTCTTCCAAGCCTCCGTCAGACTGCTCACCTGCCCCTGCAACGCCTCCACAGCCGCCAACAACGCGTCGAGAGTGCGGCCGTGATCTCTGGCTTGCACCTCCAAACCATTCAGCTCCTCCTCGACCCTCGTCTGCCTCTCTACTTGCGTCTCCACGACCTTCCTCAACCCTTCGATCTCTGTGATGCAAAAATAACTCCCTACTGCAGATTATATAATCCGCATAATTCCTATCTCCTACCCAACCAATAAAATATAACAATCGACTCCCTGTTTATTGCCCGAATACCCCAAATAATCTCCCAATTAACAAAACCGACAAATAAAGCGAATTAACCAAAAGCTGCAAATTATTTGTTTCTAACATTAACTGAGATCAAGCTACCATCTCAGGAGTTCCATAATATCTAAATGTCGCTAAAATATAAATCATAAAAGAAACGATCACTTCCTCGCATTTCGTCTGATCCCGTGTTACCCAGTCATGGCTTTATCTACCCACTCTATCCAATCCCTTTCAACTCAAAGCAACCCCGACTCCATACCTGAGATGTAGCCTATCCTTGATTTTGAAATGGTTGGGTTAGTGGGTGCCTAAACTGCTGAATTGGATAATGTGGTTTGTGATCTTAAGTCATCCAAACCAAGGACACATTAGACACAGTGTGACCTGATTGTTTTGCCATACATCAATTCAATGAGTTACCTTTCTGCTACAATTTGTACCCTGCAAGGGTCTGATTAAGAACTCCATTTGACCGGCCGGCCTTTTGCAGTGGATGCCGATAGATGAGTATGTTGAACAACCTTACAATAAGAAGCATGGACAGTTCAGGTATGTTGCTGAGATCTGCAAAGCTAGAGCAGAGGGAACATATATTGGTTTCTCTGCGTTGCCAGTCTCATCAGCTTCTGGCAAGGATGTTTACCTCTACTACAACAAGCAGGACTGCAGCGGATGATTGTACACGTCTCTAACTCTGGTCTCGCATCAAATTCATCTATTATATTTAGTGTCGGAACTTTGGCCTCCTCCCAATTATAACATTGTGGAGTAAATCTATGTTGGCAGTTGAAGTATTCAATCTTTAAGCTCGCCTATCCCGTTTTAAAACATTTGTAACTTTTTTTTTTGTTATGACTGGCCTGTATTCAAAAGGGTTAATAGCATTTTATCCCTTTCATTATTGCAGGTTAACAAACGTGTGTCTCTATTATTTATTTGCACTTTTATACCCTTCAACTATCAAAGTGTAAAAAAATACCCTTCTGTTACTATTATCCTCAAATGTATGTTAGTAAGGTCAGCAAATAATTATACTACCGGGATAAGATCAGTTTGGGTCCTTTAGTCACATGACTAAGTCAATCTTAGTCCTCCAATCTCATTAAAATCTAATGGTTATAATTAATTCAGTTTAAATGAAGGGCAATGTAGTAATTACATAATATATATAGGGAGTTCTACGGTGCACAAGGTGAAATCCTCCCGGGTACCGCATACATTGAGTAAGAAAACGCTATCCAGGACTTGAATTGACTGATCTTTCGGACATGATACTATACTCTAACCCTTAAAGATCAAAATCTAGGTCTTAATTCTCTATATCTTATACCCCCAAGATCAATTTAATTTGAAACAATAATCGACGGTTATGATTCTTCCAAATATAGGCAAAAAAATCAATGCATCATCTTAGCGTTTACAGTTTATGATTTAGATTATTAGGACCTAGGGTTCACTCATTAAGGATTAGGTATAGTATCATGCCCAAAGATCATGCTAATTCGAGGTCTAAATAACGTTTTCATATTCAAGGTATGCGGTACCTCGGATTTCACCCGGGGTACCGTAGAAGGCACTATATATATATATATATATATATATATATATATATATATATATATATATATATAGAGAGAGAGAGAGAGAGAGAGAGAGAGAGACTTTCCAGCGACCAACTAATTGTATGGTTTATATTGTTTGTCGGTCTAGGTTGTATTGTTTGTACAGTTCATACGTTTGTAAAATTTGTAAATCTATTTGTATGTTTTGTCACTGTAGTTTGTATTGTTTTGTATGATTTGTACTGATTGTAAGTCTGGTTTGTATATTTCGTAATTTTTCATAATACCCAAACTACCCCTGTCATTAATTAAATAGCCCTTCTCTTTTTTTATCCGTCAGATTGTCGTGTCCAAATCAGAGGATCCGAACCCCTATACTACCCATCTATTATCATTTTATATAATTATTTTCTAGAAAAAATAAAAATAAAAATAACTATTAAATTGATTTTTGATTTTTTCTACTCTTTTAATCCCTCGTACTATCAACGAGAACCCCACCCCTCCAATTTCTTCCTTCTCCAAATGCCCCCACCGTCCCTTCATCTTCGTCGTGGAAAACTCCGACGCCAAGTCTCACCGACATTCCAGAAACACACCTGTATCAGTGAAACAAAACTTTATAAGCCACCAATTTTCGACGCCATACAAATAAATTTGAGACATTTGGGGATGTAAAACCTAATTAAAACCTAAGGCCCCATTTAGTATTGTTGCTTGTGTATGTTTTCTTTAAAATTGTGAAAACTAAAAAACAAAAACATGTTTAGTTTGGTTTTTAATTTCTGTTGTGAAACGGATTTACACAACCAAGACAAAATTAGAGAAACAACAAAAAATTGCTTTAGATGTGTTTTCCCTATTTGTTGCACACGGGTTTTTAATAGATTTTCATTAAAGACACTTTTCTTTTTCCAATGACCCTTCTTCTTCTTCTTCATCACGCCCCCATCTCATACTTCTCGCCTCGGCAGCTCTCTCTCCCGGTCTCCCGCCTCTGCAACTCTCTCCTGTCATCCTGTTGCCGCTGTAAACCTTTGTCATCCTTTCGCCGCCAAAAGCCAAACTCATCGTCAAAGATATGTAAACTAGAAACTCAAATTCAGGAGACGGGAAACCCAAAATCAATTGGGACCGTCTAACTCAATGGAGGATGAATCTTCCCAATTCAAATCCCACTCCAAATCCCTTTTTTTCTTTCTCTTTGCCGCAATGGTGATTACCGAGGCATGAGAAATCCAGACGACTTTG